AAATGACCGCCGGTTAAATTTTCTTGGAGATCACTTAACAATATATGTTAAAGTCATCGAAATTGGAAGATCTGTAGATCTAAGTAATTATTTTTGTTGAAAACAGGGTTTCAAAATAAAATCATTTTTAGGATCAATTCTGGAAACAATATGATATAAAGAATATGCTTTATATGCTAATCGTTGCGTCTTTACCGTTACATTTAATTCGCTAGTCCGAAGATCTCTCTCGAAGTTGCTCCTTTTTCGTATTCTCTGTATCTAGAAACACTTTGCAAGGCCTCATATCGCACGTTTATTTTCCCGTTTTGGCGCTGGACAGACGTCTGAAGCCACGGTTAATTCCACGGCAAAGGAGCAACTGGCACGAATCGAGTTGCAATATAGAATTACGGAATTACAAGGCAAGGTTGTCGCCCAGTTCACCTCAATAAGGTTAATAGAGGACGCGGCGGCCGGGCGATTTCCTTGACACGAGCGGCCCGCGCTTTAATCGAGTTATAGTTCGTAACGACAGCGAAAATCTACTTTGTCTCTCCGACATAGCTGTGCATACTTGGAGAAAAAAAATACGCAAAAATAACAAGTTGTCTTTGAACCTCGAGGCTTGGCGGCGATCGTAATGCGAGCACTTGCCCAGCCTGCACGTGCTACTTGTCAACGTATCGACGTTTAATTATAGCAAATACATTCAAACGAGATAAATCCTGTTTCAAGAATGAAAGTATAGAATGCACTTTGCATTTATACTTCAGTGGGATTTGCACCAAACAATGCAGTCGAGACGTTGATCTGAGGATTGGTATTAAAATGCTGTGTGATCAACTGTCCCACGGGAAGAATTTTCTTTTAAAACTTACCCTGAAAATCGTGTAATCGTGGGACAACATGGCATTTTGAACAACTTTACGAGAGTTTTTTTGAAATTTTACCATACATTTCAGTAGTAATTATAATTAGTATATATTTTACTAATAAATTTTACTAGAAAATTTACTAGTAAAATGTATACTGTAAATGTATACTGTAAAATTTTAGAAAACTCTCATAAAGTTCTTCAAAATGTCACGTTGTCCCACAATTACATAATTTTCAGGATAATTTTTCAAAAAATATTCTATATCTCTCTGTGCAGAAATAACTGTATCTTCTAATTGTTTAACGTTTTAAATTGTATGAATTTTTAAAGTGACATTTAAGTAGTTCATTTTCTAGTAAAAATTCAAAATAATAACACAGGAGATTAAATCTGCTGAAATCCCGGAAAAAGTAAATTTATAAAGTAGATGCATTCGGAAATGTGATTACGTATCGAACAACAGAGAGCAAAAGTTATTAAAAATATATGTTTCCATTATGTGAATACTACTAATAATGTACGGCCACTCGAAGAAAAAGCAGGAATTAAACATTGAACTTAATATACGCTGAAAATCGATTTACGTCATTATCGCGTGATTCCAGCTGTTGCTAACGTCTGCTGTCCGATAAACGACGCGACACGACCGCCATAGAGAAATCCAATACTTTCAGTCCAGACACGATGTTTATTACCACAAACCTTGTAATTTATCCCGGGGGGCGTATCATTCTGCTCGAGATATCGAGCATGCTCGACATACGGTTCGAAAAATATGTCGATTCGTACGTACAAACGTTATATTCAAACTATGTACTTGTAGAAAATAGAGCTGAACCAATTAATTTTGCGTGAAGAAAGTGGCGCGTAAAGATAAGTGAATGCCAAATACTTTTGATTACGTAAAAATCGGTAACGATCGTTTTTAGAAACGATGAGAGATAAACATGAAAGGTTTTTTGATATTAAAATTGTTTTACAACATTTTCCACTATTCCGAGCTTAATCAAACAAAATTAAAAGTAGAGACAGCCAGTGTGTTGAGCGCGAAGCAGAGAAATAAAAGCGATGTTTCGAAGCAATCATCTCTCTTCGTACAGATGTATTTTCTCCACCTATAAGGCGTAACTAAACTGGCAAAAAATATTTTAATGACAAGTACTTGGTAACATTTCAAGACAAAACTTTTTAATACGGAAATGTCGAGGCTATAATAGTTTTCAAATTGGAAAAGTTTAAAGATCTTGAATAACGAGATTAGAATTTCGCGCGCACAGGGACGGCAAAGTGGCAAATTTCACCGCGTTAATTTAATCAGTACCAATAAGTCCGCGGAATAATACGCAAAACGTAGCAACAGTCACGGAACAAAGTAATGTACAATAAAATATTAAGTACGGAATTTTCCATTGCGTAGGCAGGCCAACGAATTCTCAACGTTTATTTGTTGTTTTCCACTCGGCGCGGTATCGTACGACGATTAAGCGGGCCAACGAATTCTCAACGTTTTTTTGTTGTTTTTCATTCGGCGCGGTATCGTACGATGTTTTTGCGGGCCAACGTTTACCTGAAGGTTAACGCGCTATCATTCGCTCGCCGAACGTCGAGCCGGCAAGCAGTGGCGAGAGTCGCTCCGTGCGTGTTATTACTTTTGCGTTATCGGTTTCCAAGACTCGATCGCGATAAATGTAGGGATAAAACGCTATTGAGTTGTACACTTTTATCATTAACTAGTAACATTCCTCGATTAATTATTAAGCTTCTACAAGTTATAATGAGAAACGAATTACATATTGAGGCAACGGCTCTTTATCAACGTACGCTATTTCACGAGACTAACTCATCTAAAATATGAAGGTAAACCGTGGTACTTTGTCGCGAGGTACTTTGTCAGAAGTTACTAATATTTCGTGTGTTCGCGGTATTTCACATCGCGTACGGGAGTGCCGGAAATTTCGCTCGATGATTTTTACGAGTGTTGTGCGAGTGCAACAAGGAAATCTGAGAGGAGGAGGAGGTCCAGGGCATCGGGCAACAGCGGAGAAAACGTGAAGTAAGTGTATTTCATTTTTGTCAAAGATGTGCGGTTCAAGGAAGCGCCTTTGCTACTGGCCTCTTTGCCATCCCTGAGCGCGCAAAATTCCAGCCTCGTTATTCGAGATCTTTAAACTTTTCCCACTTGAAAAGCCTCGACATTTTCGTAGTAAAATTTTCGTCTTAAAATATTACAAAGCACTTGTCATCAAAATATTCTTCATCAGTTTAGGTGCACCCTGTACATATGTATATCACTGTGCGAATGTATTGTACAACGGGCAGCCGAATGCTCGAAATGAAATGTATTTTACAAACGAATACATTTTACTGGCAGTGCATACACACACGCGCACTTGTTACAAAGAATCTCGAATTTTTTTCGGCAGCCCAGTCTCTTTTACGTGAACAAATATTTGCCGATCGCGATAAACTGACTTTTTTTTCTCCATTTTGTTCTCCAATTCGCTCTCGATAAAACGATTAAATTTGATTATATAGAGCGAATGGAAGGTACAGAATTTACATTTAATCTTTGTGAATTTATCATTTCATAATTACCATCGAAATTAAATTGTCAACGGAATGCGAGAGTCATCATATTTTTTAATGCTGTGCGAGGATCCGTTAATTGCAGCGATACCGCAATTAATACTGAACGGTCAATTTTTCTCTCTATGGCAAATTTTCATAACGTAACGTAATATTTCTTAGAATGCTCCATAATTCCATAGAAATATGCGAGACGATCTCGTAGTTCTGGAAAAATATCGGGCAATAAACGCAGATAGGGAAAGTGAGATGCATTGTACCGCGAGACGGTGATTCATGAGGGATTTCCCTACTGGCTACTTTAGAGACTGGGAGAATTGCGCCATTAAGCATCAAAAAGCATGCGGAACCAAAATATGAAGAAGGCGCATAAGAGCTCCAGCGTGAATACAGCAAATCGTTTCTCCACCCCATTCTTTCCATTAATTCTTTTTGATTAAAAGATTTTAATTGGACATAAATCCAGCTTATTAGTGCCAAATGAGTGCGCAGTTCCGGTAGAAAACGAAGCGGTTTAATTAGCGATTTCCGCCACTTCGGTGAAACTAACCGGAAAATATCACATTAAGATTAAAATTAAATTTCTACGAGTACGGCGCGTATAAAACGACCTCGCGTAATTGCCCTCATCGGAATTAAAGTGACGAAAGGCAATGCGGTGTTTACATTGGGAGTGTGGGCGAAATTTTGTCCCATAGACTGTCGCAACTTCCAACTGTCGCTGACTTAAAGAGCGAGTAAAACGTTTGAAACATTGAGCAGGCAGCCACAGCTTCCCCCGTGAAAATCGATTGAGGTTATTCACCTCTCCTACTTATACCAATACGCACGTACTCAGTGTTCATTCGTTGGGAGTTCACCCAACTAAATATTTTATTCCCGCCAATGTTGTCTCGACCGCATACGTGTCACGCGGATCGATGGCACTTGACGCGCGCGACGCGACTTCGCGTTGCTGAAACGACCAAATTAAAAACCATTTAAATTTTCACGCGTCCCCGAAGAAAATAAATAGCGTTGTATCATTCAACGCCGTGATATTTATTTCGTTTCTCGTTGCACGTAATCTAATATCGTGTATACTTGTAATATATTCTGTAAAAATAATGGATTTTATTTTTGGTACATGAAGTATACTCTCTTTACCGTAATGTTAAACAATTCATGCGAAAGGGATACATTTTTTTACTTTAATTAACTTAATTCTTTAACTACGTTTTCATTAATTGTTTTTGTAGAATTGCCTACTGTAACTTTTTAATTTCACAGTTCTTATAATTAGCTGCCGCGCGCTACTTTACGTTATTAACAAGAGACAAAATAAAAACTAAATAAAATTTTAATGACATTTGTATTCAATCTAAAAAATATATAATTACAGTATATAATTACATTGAGTGCTTAATGAATCAAAGTACATGATGCGTAAGAAAATAATTATTTACTGCCCTTAAATCTCAGTGTACCTTTCTCAAAAAGATATTAAGAAATTAATTATATTAATACAGTTATACTCGTAAAATTCTTAAAGTAATTTAACGTAAAAATTTTATTCCTCTGTACTAAATTGTGTAATAATTATAACGCAACAGTTAGTTTCTGCTTAACAATTATAACTAGTCGTAAACAGTCGATATATCTGCTCTTATAAATTACTCTTATTCTGAGTATTGAGCTAACAGCGATAACGAGTTAATTAAAAACCGTCAAATATATGCAATCGTCGCACATATGTATCTCTCTTGATAAAACTGTCCAACGGTGAGCGAATGTTTGGATTTTACAAAATATCTGAGGCTCAAATAACGAAACTGAATAATAAATATTTGCGTTGTACACTAAACATGAATTCATTTATCGCAAATACGATATCGCGTGACTACAAGAACACGACTCTATAGCGAGCAAAATCTAATCCGCTTAACCACGCGCGCGGATACGAAAAGGCTCGCTTCCACTCTATCCGCGTGTGCAAATCTTCCGTACACACGGTACGTTTGCTCAGACGACGCTGAGACGCAGCTTCCCACCGTGGGATTACTTCGTAGCTAGTAGCAGCACCACACCACGTTCTAATGCACTATTTATTGAGCACTTTAGACGATAAATTTGCAATGGGTTATTTAGTATCGTCCCTTGGCGCGTGCGCGAATGTATTACTTCCCGCGATGTGAATTTCACGTTCTGTAGTACGGTCTGTAAGTGGACATCGGGATATTATTCTTCGATAAGTGATGAATGTCACCCTGGTCGTACTCCACGTCGTTATAAATACCGCTTTGATTCTGAAATATAAGCCAATTCGTCGATACATAACTAGCGGTCAATTAGTTTCTACGGTCGTGGTAATTAAACGGTAATACAAACGAATTAAGACAAAATTGAACAGTTTCAATTATGTTGGTAAGGAGGAATCGGAAAAGAATTAGAACGAGGCATTTGTGCAAAAATACGGCGATGTAAAATTAATTGATAAAAAGCCGCGGCATTATTGGATTTCTCCGGCCCTGGGAATTAGCCTTATAATTATTGAATTTTTTTTCTACTTCTCTTTACCTCTGTCTCTTGCTAAAGATTTCAATTAACGTGATGAGGTTAAAATTTTTATTCCAAACCGTAACATATTAAACGAATTCTTCTTTTATTCTCTATCCCATTCAATTACAAGTTAAGTTTAACAAAGCACACTATTAAAATCAAACCTTGATCCTCTACATCAAATATTTAATTTAAAAATAAATTCTTTTCGTGTAATAAATTTTGATTTAATACTTTTCTAAACCGCGACATATACGTACAATATATGCTCGGTGATTTAATGGATACTCACCGCTAATGAAGACCTCGACTTTGGCCTCGGCACATGAAAACCACTGCTCTGAGGAATTAGGTCGGCTCTGTCCTTATCTTGCGGCTCGGAATCCGAGCTATCCGGATCTGGCTGAGGTCTCTGTCTTGGCCGTGTTGGGGCCTGAAGTCGCGGTAATGGGACCGGAGGCAATGTTCCGTGAACGTTCATGGGTGGATAACCGAACATCGCCGAGCTTGGTCGCGTAGGGCCCATGGGTTCGGTCTTCCGGTAAAAAAAAATTCTCAATGAACTTCGATAGGTTTCTTTCATCGCTGACAAGCAGAACTAATGCGATTCAATAAGAAATACTAGCTACTTCGTTCATTACACTTTGCTACGTATTATCGAGTATTAATTAACAAAGTTGATGCGTACCGCATAGAGATTCGCTGTAGCCATGTGCTCCCCAAAATGAGCCCACATGTAAGGTGGCAAATTCGTCGGCGGCCCTTGTTTTATGGATGCTAGAGTACCCACAGAACCCACCCTCGCTAAGGTCCCTGTAAATTACAATATTTGCGCCCTTAAATCTATATCCGCTAGCAAAAGATGACGTTTATATCTGACTGCTAGGTGATTTTACCTGGGAGAGTACCAGGTATTCCACCTTGGATATAACCGTACACCGGAGAACCCGCAGACTTTTGTTCACGAGACCACTTGCGACTGCAAAATATACGTACAGTTGGCCCAGTGCGAAATGACTCGTCGATCGATGTCGAGACGATGTCAAATCGACGTCAATTTGACGGTGACGTTGTCGATTCGACATCGATCGACGAATCCTTTCTCACTGGGGATTTACACGCTTTGACGTATGTATATACTAATAACAGTTGTATCGAGAAACATTGATTACCTCCACATAACGAGACAGACTAGAGTCAATACTATGATTATTAACGCGGCCACAGACGCGCCTATAGCGACGCCCAAGACTTCGCCATCGACCTCGCACTGCGCGCCGTAGTAATTGCCGGTGCATCTGAAGATGGAGAAGAAATTTTTCAGTACATTTAACACGTGCGCTCACGCGGTGCGTTTACTTACGCGCACTGCATCTGGTCCCCCTGATACGAGCAGGTGCCGCGATTATTGCAATAGGTCGAGGGACACGACAGGCACGTTCTGCCGGATTCATTGGGATCGTTTTTGTGAGGGTCCTTTAATCCCGGATTGCACGAGCACATGAAACCACCGAAGGTGTTGACACAGCTAGCGGATGAATGGCAATCGTTCAACTCCGACGAGGCGCATTCGTCCAGATCTGTAAATTCAGAGAGATGTTTTACATTATAAATTCCTCTATTCGCAACTCTTACAATTACATCCTACTTAATATAAAATATCACTAATTCTATCTACAGCACAAAACTTGCAGTTACATTGCAGCTACGTTGCAGCAATGTTGCAACATTGCAGCAATATTTGTGCTGCACGGGTACTAATTGTAACTAACGATCGAGTTACCTTGCAAGTTTGATATAGATCCCGGTGGGCTGTCCACGTACAGGGCACTGTTTCCGATGTTGTTGTTCTTTCTATGAATGACACCTAGCAGGTGTCTTTGAAGCTCACCGGCTAAACTCGGTCTGATCGTTCTCGGTTCATAAGTGAGTTTTAGAGTTGCATTCACGAAAACTCCGCCTTGTCCTTGGCTTACGTCTCCTTGATAAACGTTGTTTATCAGCGATCCCATATATTCGTCTGAGAATGGTGTCATAGACATGGCAGACTCGACCTGTAGAACAAATTAAACATTTCATAAACAACATAATTAAATTTATATTTACTACATAGAAAAAAGATAGACAATTAGATAAGTTTTCTCTTAAAAAATTGTCCCAACTAATTACGTAATTAAACGATTAGTCGAGATCTTTCCAGCGCACTTTATAAATTCTTTTATTTTACCAATTAAATGCAGATAGCATTTTTATAATGTGCAAATTACATTTTTTATAATGTGCATCAGAAACACATCAATGAACAATGTAATCACTTAATTAACTGGTATATGTATAGAGGAAAGTTCTTTAATTATGAAATAGGCTCCTAATGCGAGATAGCGGAGTTTCTGCTAAATTAATAGGCATTATTTGTTGGTTCCACCATGAATTTATTGCCCTTAGAGTGAAGTCTGTTTAGTGTAAAATTGATTGTTGGATCGTGTAATCGTTGCGAAAAAAGATTTGCGATTGAATTTGGACGTTGAAAACCTACCATCTCACATTAGAATCCTAACTCATAATAGAGGACTTTCCTCTATAATTTATTAAAAGAAAAATTGAAATCATTGTTCAAATTTTTCATTGATATTCCGAGCAATAATTAAATAATTTAATTTGTACTTACGGCTCTGTTGGCCTCGTAAGCGAGAGTTTGATAAGATTCCGTGTCCTTGTCAGCTAGCCCGCGATCCCACACGACTTTCTTATCGTAAAATTTGTCAACTCTGATTGACACAACGATACTGACAATCTCTGGAAAAGAAATATGAAATGCAAAGTATGGATCGTAACATGCGTCTCGCGATTCTCGATCGTTTACTAACTTTTGCACGGCAGCGAATGCTGCAATCGCGCGTATCCTGGCTTGCAGTGACAAGCCGATACTCCTTGGACCGTCGCGCAAGCCTCATGTTGACTCGCATCGCATGTACTCGTGTCGCCCACGATGCAAGTGTCTATTCTGACAGGTGGCTGCGTCGGTCTTCGGTACGATGGTTGCCTGCGATTTGATCCATTGGGACGGGAAGTGGCAAGAGGAGTATCCGGTTGTGGAATGGCGAGACTGAAAAGAAAATTTTCATGTAACATTTTTATCTTTTGATGACGAGTCATTTATCTCATGAAACTTTTTCCGAGGATAGAAAACGAAATTGCTAATAAATTGTATGATATTTGGTTAGAATGAAAGTTTAAATCGTCGAAAAAGCTCGTCACATATTTTTTTACCCAGCGACATGTTCACAAAAAAGCTTTTAGCCTCGCGAAATCGAGACATACCCAGTACCGATGATGGGCGGCGGTTGAGTTCTAGTTGGTTGTGGTTGTACATGAGTGGGCACGGGTGTCCGGTCCGTGTTATCGAACAGATTCAGATACGTTCTTTTACCGTCAATACTCACGAAACCTTCTCCGCCCACTGCAGAAGTTAATATGACATCACCGCCGCTTGAGTGTAGAGACACTCTAACGCTCTCCCCTAAAACAAAATGACCAATCGTCAAAAATCTAGTCACTTAAAGAAAATGATTGGTGAAAATCTATATTTAAATTGTTTACATGTTACATACAAATTTCCGCGAAAATTGGAATCGATTAAATTAATAATTAATGCGCACGTACATAACTAAAATGATAACATAAAGCATGATTGGTGTCAGATTCTAGGGTAGAATTCTATTTTACATACAAGGTATTTCGATATTATGTTTTAATACATGGCATTTATAATTTTTTGAATGTTTTTTTATATTGTATTGACACATAAAATAATAGAATTTTATCATAAATTCTGACATAAATTGTGAGATCAGACAATGATATAAAAATTACCGGAACTTCCTCCGGGTCCCTGAATTGCCGAAACTGTTACGTCAAAGACGTCACCGTGGGGTGGATGTCTCGATGGTGCATAAGGCCTCTGACTTGGCAACCCTTGTGCTCCAGTATAATCTAAAGTATCGTCCAAGACAATTCCAGGTCGTGGACGATAACGTTCAGTGGATCCTATTACGTTTATTTTAAATTATATATTGATAAATGAGCTATAGCAATTATGGATTGTGCATCTGTACGCATATACATAAGCACAATAATTCAAAAATACATTCTACTAATTAAAGGCAACGTGTAGCAATGCATATTTATGTAATCGTGGGACAACACGGCATTTTGAACAACTTTATGAAAGTTTTTTGAAATTTTACCATACATTTTACTAGTAAAATTTTTTTAAACTCTCATAAAATTCTTCGAACTGCCATGTTGTTACACGGTTACACGATTTTCAGGAAATTTTGAGAGAAAATTTTCTCCGCGCACATACATTTTTATTTGTAATCTTTTACGTGCCTGTATTTTTCGTGAAAAGAGAAGTGGTGGGATGAACGACGCTCTTCTCCGTCGTAGCCGAACTCTTCGAGTAAGTTGTAGGAAGACCGTCGGTCGGCGTCGAAACGCTGGACGTCGGTTCTATGTATTCGATATCTGATGCGCTGCTGGGTTCCAAACTCACATCGAACTTGGTATCAAGGCTCGGTTTCACGGTAATCGCGGTTGGTCGAAGGATTTTTGTCGACATAGATTCGATCACTTGGACCGACGAACTGGTCTCGATGTTAAGAGTGCTGGTCGAAAAAGTCTTCGAGGCGGTCGGGGTGGGTTTCTCGATCGGTTTTCCTCCTTTGAACGTTGGGGATATTTTTTCCTCGCTTTTCGAAGACTTCGTAACTTTGGCCTGATCGTCCGAAGACTCCGGGTGTCGCGTCGTGTGAGTCGAAACGACGTCTGTAGCGAGGCCGAGGATCAGCGTCTCCTCGCTGTTGATCTTGTTTTCCTTCGACGGTGAATGATTCTTGTGATTTATATGTTGTTTCTTTGTGGACTCTTCGGGCTCAGGTTTTTTCGTCGTGTTCTGGACAGCTGAATCATCGGTCGCCACCGTGGATTTGACTCGATCTTTACCGACACTAGAATTGTTCGTGCGATTCTTAGTATTACCGTCCTCGATAAGTGTTTCTTGATGACTGGCATCTTTCTTTATCGTGGAGCTCTCCTGAGGCGTTTCGGATTCCGGTTTTAAATCGTATTGCGAGTTCTCCGTCGTTGAAAGGTTCTTGTCGCGATGGAAGGAGGAGTCCAGCGATGGTAGTTTGTAGGGTGGTGCCGGTCGTCTGTTACCACCTTTAAAAAAAACTAGACTTTAATTTTCTCGTTAATTTTAATAAAATGAAAATTATTTTGTCTATAATCATAATAAAATAATTCTCTCATTTTATTAAAATTACCCGGAAAATGATTTTGTTTCATATATTCACGATCCGTTACGTTAAAGCATCCATGCAAAATAAATGATTAATTATAAGTGCACAATTATTTACGGATGTATGACGTACTGTGCGAAGAATCCCAGCTCCAAGGCGGCACGACTTGCTCTGGTAATGGCACTCCGCTGATGAAGGGCCTAATGGGTGGCAATAATGGTCTGTCGGGTGCAGGGGGCTTTTCGAACGGGTAAGGATGAGACGACGGTGGCGGCGGCGGTGGATTCATGCCAGGTGTGTCAAAGTCCGTCAGCAACGGTGGCACATCCGATATTCTGGGTGGTCCTCTGTTGTTGATCCTGCATATTCGTTGTCATTGCCAATAACGAGACGTACAGTGATTGTCAGGATGGTTGCGACACGTTTTTTCTCAATGAGTTTAGGAACGTGCATTTAGATCCAGGGTTACGTTCTTCTTCCTCGAGGAGTATTTTACTCGATGGACATTCTCCGAAACCATCTGTCACTCGAGTAAAATTTTCCCCATAGAAAATGTTTCGAAACATAAACCTGGATCTAACTGCGCGTTCCTATAAAACTTATTTAAAAAACTAAGTGTCGCAACCATTCTGTCCATCACTTTACATACACACGTATCATATATGAGTCTTTCTTCAAATAGAAATGAATGCAATGCGAATATTTGCATTTCTCTTGCGCCAAGAAAGAAATTATTTCACGTAATAATTTTTACGTGAAGGCTCTTCTCTATCTCTTGATACATTTCTTATAAACATAGGCGAAGATACGCGACATGACATTTCCGAAAGTTAACGTGACAATTCCGACGGTAAAAGAAACCGATTGTCATAGCATTTTATAATGGATCGTCATTTTATTTCACAGTGTAAAATACACTTAGAAAGATGAAAATTGATTTAGCCTACCTCGTAGCTTGTATCGGCCTCAATGGCCTCACGGTGTTTGCGGCTACGTTTACGTTGCCATTGAGCAATTTGACGATGCCGGTGATAATGTCCTGTATATCGGGGTTGGCTTGTCTATGACCTGGCGCGGCGGTTTGCAGACTCGGCGGCGGCGCGTGCTCGCTATAGATCCTCGTGATCTCTTGACGACCTCGCCGTTGCTGATCCGTTACTGGCGAATGCTGTGCTCGTTGCCTCGACGCGCCAACCGGCTGATGGGGCTCCGACAGGAGATCTACTCTCAGCGGAGCCCCTTGTCCTTCCCCCGACATCGACTCGCTGGTGGTTGGCACTATGCTACTTGTGACAACACGGATTGTTTTACGAAATTTGCCCTCGATTGTACTTGAGGCTACACGAAGAGAATTTTCTCTGAACATTTATCCCGAGATTTAGCCTGAAAATTATGTAGGTAATCGTGGCATTTCGAAGAATTTTAGGAAAGTTTTTTTTTTAATTTTACTAGTGATTGTACTTACAATTAGTATAAATTTTACTAGCACAATGTATGGTAAAATTTCATAAAATTTCATAAAATCCCACGATTACGTCATCTTCAGGGTAAATTTTAAGAGAAAATTCCCTCCGCGTAGAATTAAAGTGAACTAATACGCAATTTACGCGTGCGTCCATTTGTTGGCGTAATATTCAGTTTATTATTTTACTTTGAATCACATTTAGAATAGAAACACAGAGTTAATTGAAACTTTGATGCGCATAATCAAAACTCTAAGAAATGTCGGCATTTCTCATATCGGGAAGTAGTTGCAACATAGTCTATTGTCAATACGGAAAACCCATTTACGTTTATAATTCTTCGCGTGCAATTCGCCCTTTTATTAGGTAGTGTTCATAGAAACGGAATGAGACTTACTGATAGTACTCGCCGGCTTTCACCTCGATGTTATTACCGTCGAAATGGGCCACGTGTTTCGACGACGTTAGTTCGTCGATAGACTCGTCCCGACTCGCATCTTTGAACGCAATTCTGGTCTCCCCCCTGTCGTAATCGTTAACGGTTTTCGAACTTTCCAACTGGATCGCTGGGACAGTCTTTTGGAAGGTCCGAGTCTCGTCCGGTTGGCTTCCACTGGATGTTTTTTCGGGACCAGTGTAAGCGCTAGCACTCAATACGGTATTTTCCCGAGACATTCGAGAGGATGTTTTATCGTTCTGTATGGCCGACACTCCTGCAAGTAAACGAAAGCTAGTGTCAACTTTTCCGCATATTCCATCGACGTTTTCCGCAGTGTGAAAGAGAGAAATTTAGAAAGAAGTTTATCGTATACTCCGCATATACCTACTATTAAACATGGACTTGCAACACAGTATGAAAATTAACGCATAAATACATTTAGTTCTGTTTCGCAGTACATAAGACATTTAATTTAATTTTGCGATACAAATACGAACGTTTCGGCTCCACTTTGAGTCATCCTCAACGTAAATTGCAATCTGAACTCGAGAAAAGCTTTGATTTTCTCAACTTACTCTCAAGCTCAACTTAACTGCAAATTTTAGACTTTCGAGAATCCATTAACCCTTCCAGTCACAGTAATGCATATACATATGCCCCTTTATGATGTCGTTTTTTTGTTGTAATTTCTACTATTTGAAATTTTTCTTGAATGTTTTTATTTCACAACTCTCTCGCCTCTTAATAGTTGAAATTCAACAATGGAATCGTTATTTTATTGATATCGTAAATTCTTTTTATTATATGAACAAATAGAAACTCGAGAAAATGCCCATCGTAAACATATACAATATTAAAACCTCTTATTCTTTTAAAGGGTTAATTTAGACATTATATTTTCTTCACATATTTTGTATTGTAATATTAATTAATATGCACGGTCGGGAAAGTTACTTTATAAAAGTATCTAGTTACAGTTACAGTTTGTTCGCTAAATATGTAACTAGTTACAGTTACAAGTTACTAATTCTGAAAAGTAACAGTTACTCAAAAAGTAACGAATCGTTACTTTGCAGTTGGTTTCTTGCAATGAAAATAAAAATATTAAATCTGTAGTTGAATTATAATATAAAGTGTTGATAAAGCCCGGATAGCACAAAGTATTGGCGTAGTATTGGGAAATAATGTAAATGCAATACCGTGCAATTATTGATACGTAACATTGGCGTTACATTAACCTTTATTCTATAAGTATTCAATATTACAATTGTATTGGGCAATCTTGCCCAATACAATTTCGATATCAATCCAATATTGAATTTGGAATTTGAAGATTGAGTCACGAAGAGACAGTCATTATCTATTCTTGAATAAATAACGGAGGTAAAAATATATTTCATTAGTTTTATATAGTAAATTTTTTAAATTAATTTTTTCTTTAATTAACTTCTCATGGTCGTGCATTTCGATACGATCGACGCTCGCAATATAATTCGAACCGTACGAAATATCTGTCGGTGACGATAATAAACTGACTATGGAAGGAGTTTTCTTCCTTTCTGATCTCGGGTCAAAATGATCAGACTGTATGGCCAGAAGCAACTAAAGGTAGGTCCCATCTGGCCCGACGAAGGAAGACTGAATACGATGAAAAAAGTTGATTATACGTATAATTTATATTTCAGCCTTTTAATTTTTATTCCTTTGCCGTGTGTAAGTTTTATGATAAGGGCATACGTATTCAGCGTAGACATCTGCGGGGTGCGAAACTAAGAAGATTGGTTTTTGGTTCGTGTCGCTACGTCGATTTTTCGCCGAGATATAGCGTTTTAAAAATCGGGCGCGCGCGCACCATTCATGAATGAAGGCCGCGCAAATTTTACGCAAGTAGTATGCGAGCGTACTACGTCCCCAAAAAACTGGCATCAAAACATACGATGCACAGGGGTTCGAGGCACATCGCCGCGCGAGATGCCGCGCGAGACGCCGCGCGGCGTCTGCTGCTTCTGAATGAGGATTAAGATCGTGAGTCGATATAATCGTTAATAACTTCGCACAGAAAAATCGTAGGAAGATGATCCT